GAAAGGGAATATCCATGACTATAGACAGATGCAGGCATGTGCACTCATGCATCCATCTGTACGTGTGTGCTGGGGGTCCTTCTGGCTGTGCAACCTGTGCACAGGTGCCAGCTGCTACCTCCCAAAAAGAATGGAGAAAGTCTGTATTCACCACTGCTCGAGAATCAGTGACAAAAGTCTGTCCTAGAAGAAGGTGGAAATGAGAAGAAACCTGGGGAAGGCCAACAGAAGGTCACAGAAAGAGAAGTGGGACATCAAGGTGCACCCACACAGCTCCATGACTTCATTTACTTCACTGTAACACTCAGGTACCCAGCCCTCTATTCAGTAACACACAGCTTTTAATCTGCTATTAGCTTTTTGCTCTTTCTCTGTTCCACTGTTTGACCTCTGCTTCTTTCTTCGGCTGCTCTCACTTTTGTATCTCTTTCTGAAAATTTGCATTTTCTGTTCCTTTTTCTCCTCAGCCTTATCCCTCTCAGTTTTGTCTTCTTTTTGCACAGCACTTCCTGGTTCCCTTCTCATCTCCTCCTTTCCCTCCTGCCTCCTTTTCCACACAAGCAACTTCATTAACTAGAGGGGCCTCTGCTTCTTGAACGCAGACATTTATCAGTGGTAACCAGTCATTTCTACTTCTAAGAATTGCTCCAGGCACCAATATCTGCTGTGGGGTAGCTGTAGTATATAGTAACAACTTAAGAACAAGCATCATAAATAGATTATATCTAGTAGACAGCACATTTTCAGAACGTTGTACTAAGATCTCTCATTAGGCAAAGAACTCTTCACACCTAGACAGATTCACAAGTCTGCTGCACCTAATACAGCACACTGTATGATACAGTATGCAGTCTCAAACCAAAACCATAAACTGTTCTGATCTGTAACTCATATTCTGGGTTCAGAGACAACCCAATTGTGGTTTCAGAGATCTTACAGGATTTTAATCCAATGAAGGAGAAGAAAGGAAAGTAAAGAACATTCCTCATAAATAAAATAGCATCTAACTAGAAAAAACACTTTGAAGGATGACCTATGTTTTACATACTGCTAAATATCAGCAAAAATAAATGTGTTCATTTCTCCAAAATACCTCCAGATGGCATTAAAACCCTTCTTCTTTAGGTCTTTATTGTGATATTATTTTTAAAAATGGTAATTATTGGAATAATTCTATTAACCATTCCCAGCAATCATGCTATCAGAAGGCATAAGGCTGCTAATGCTTAATTCATTTAATAAGTTTGGCTAAATATGCTCACATACTGTAATTACATTTCACAACACAATCTGCAGGACGAGCCATTTCTTACACCATGTCAAATCTTTTTCTAGATTCATTTCCAGAAGATTTTTAATGCGTATTTGCAGCAGAAAGCAAAACATCCCACAATAAATCACCGTTATTCTACCTCCTTCTGTGACTACTTTTGGCCATGTAACAAATGGTGACACCCTGCAAGATTTACGTGATAGAATGCTCGGAATTTAAATAGCAGGAATCAGAAAACATAAATTATGGGCAAGATGCACTCTAAAATTCACATGACTGACTGTTACAAGTACTTGCCTCCCTCAAATGGGATTAAAAAGGTGAATGGTTTTTCAGAAATTCATAATACTGCTGCCTGATACCTATTAAAGGAATTCACTTATCTAGCTCAGTTTGGATGACTGATGCTATTTATTTTTTTTTCACTTGCAACCCATCTGTTTCATACACTGGTTTACATTGGCAAAACAATTCAGTTCTTTGTATACTAGAGTTAAAAAAGGTAAAAGCTTCTATTGTTGCACTAGAGTGAAGGTGAACATTGATATATTACAAGTGCCTGTTCCTATCTATTTCTCAACTTCTTTTGTTAATTCAAAAACATCAACAAAATCGTGAGAGACCAGAGATAGCTGTAATTGGATTTCAAGTAATTCAGAGGTGAAGCTGCAGACTGCAGTCTTTTAAAATTGCATCAGTACATCAAAGGCATATGTGACATGATGTTTTTTAGCAAGTGTGACAAACTCCAGCAGCATTAAGGTAATGTTGAAGTCAGGTTGTAAAGGCCAGCCTCGCACACCCACAAACATCATCGCACATCCATTCAGTGTGATATGGAGCCATTTCACTTGCAAAGATCTCTGAGTTACTAGCATGCAGAAGCTCCAGGAATAATTAATGTTTAGTCATTATCTAAAAAGCCTTTTTAAGAAAAGCATCAGTGAAAGAGCTTTATCTTAATGAAAACAAACAAATTCTATTTTGCCCAACAGATCTGATAAAAACACAGCTGCCTTCTCCGATCTTAAACACAAAAATGACTTACGATGTGTGGGTTGCACTTTTCTCTTGACTCTTTGTCTCTACATCACTTTTCCCTTTAAAAGAAAAGAAGAAAATTACGTCAGAAAACTGGTGAATATGGAAACTGCTCAGATGTGACACACAAACTCCTAATTCATGGCCAACACTGGCCACCCTTGCCATGTGTGCAGACTGAAGCCAAGGCAATCACAGGGCTACTGGGGACACTGCTGGAGCAGTTGCAAGCAGGGAGTCAACCCGGACTTGACTTTTCTTTTCACTAGCACACATACTCTGGAAATGTCAGGCAAGGAAACTTCACAAGAGAGGCCACTTAGAGGACACATCTTTACCAAGGGTAGCAAACCTTGGAGCCACGGAAAGGACTTCTCTAGGGCCCTACGGCTCTGCTATTGGTAGTTCACCCCATCCAACATACACGCACTCTCAAACATTGCTCCAGGATCAGTAATTATTTCACACATGGCAGAACAGCATCAGCAGAAGATACTAAGGCAGTGATTAGGACACAATTCTCCCAATGGGCATTTGGGTCCACGTTCATTTTGACAGTTTCAGGATCTGATCTCCAGCTACTGTCAGTGGGGACTGGGGAAGCTCTCTTCGCTATTTGGTATATTTTGCTTAGGCACCCAGCCCCAGGATATGCCAAGCACACAAAGGCTTGAGAAGTATCAGAGCTCCATGGGATGCTTCTCCTTCACATTTCTTTATGATTCACATGGGTCCTGGCATAACATGTTGGCTTTTGATGATCCCCTTCTTGGGTCTAAACTCATATATCTGCCCTACAAAACTTAATTTACACAGCACAGACCCCAGGGAAGGAGGCTGCATCTTGATGGGCTGGTGTGGTTTCTGCTAAGTCTGACCAAGTCCTTCTCCCTCCCTTCTCCCTCCTTGCAAAATGATGTTGTTTTCTGTAATTCTTGCTCTCTGACTAACCAGAGAGAGCCACACTTCAGCGTAAGATTTTTGTTACCTCTGTGATGGATGTACAGGTTATGTCGCTCCACTTAAACCAAGTGGAAGCTGAATTCTAGCAACTGTGCAGGTGCTGCTTCTCTTGTGTGTTGCTGGATGCTAATAGTCATCCACACATGAGTTTATCTTGCCTAGCAGACAAGGAAGCACGCAGGTTGAGTGTGACTTGTTCACTGATGGATGTGTTTTTCTCCATTACCTTTTAATGAGCTTTGTTAAACCAAAGCCCACCTGTGCCTTCTGAAAAAAAAAAAAGTGAGAAGTGCTTAATTTGGTCAGGCTGTTCCAATGTTGTCTGATTTTCTGTGCATTGATATGAGTTCTGTACGTTTTGGATCAGCCTCCAACTTGTTCCATGTACATATCATCCATTTGCTGCTGCCAAATTCCTCACCCTCAGTTTCCACACAGCGTTGGGGTGCTAGCAATGGCTGTAAGAGGCAACTCTAGAAAACTGAAGAGGCTGGATTTTGCTATGAATGTCCTTCCACTGCTGAACAGAAGCAAGCTGAAGGACTTCCTCTAGACAGCAACCTTCTGGAAGTGGATGTGTTGCAGTAGAAGTTGTAGGTATTGCAAACACCCTGCCATGGTGCTTTCAGATCTCATAGAAGGGTTTGTGTCTATCCAACTTAGGTGCCTAAGCTTTGATGAACAAGATGGAGGTAGCTCTGGATGACTTAAAAAAAAACAGTGCCTCTCTGTGGATCTCTAGGGAAGCTAAGCACTTACTGCAGGAGGGCAGCTAAAGGCATCTAAAATTAGGCACAAGCTGGGCATCCACACAGGGTGGCATACATCCACTCCAAAATCTATAGGTCACTTCTCACTTTCAACAGAAACCCTAGGAAGTATATCCAGATGAGGAATGTGCTGGTTAGAAAGCTGTTGCTACAGTATACGCCTTAGGGTGCTTGGAGCCCTGGAGCTCATCTGCATTATGGTAATTTGGAACAAGAAACCAACAGTAACAGTTGGCATATATTCAAAGATTTTCTATTTGTAACTTAAGCTTTTTTATAAGTGATGAATTATTACCATGAACACTGTTTTGTTTGAGTGTGAGGGGGAATATGCATTCCTGAGTGCTTTGCCAGTGGAATTCACATCAGT